TGGTGGTGGTGGTGGTGGTGGTGGTAGTGGTGGGGCTTCTCTTTCATCCCTGTTTCATGGCTGGATCTCCCCTTCAGGCCTCTCCTGTGCCTTCATGAGATCCATCCCGTCACCATGCCCTCAGTCAGCGGTCCAGGCACAGGGAAGGCATCCATCCGAGAGTGTGGAACACCACTCTTCCTCTGATATAGTCCCAGCCCTGCTTTATATCTCCACAACACAGTTAGGAGTGTTTGTTCGGATGGCATCGGAAATCACCTTAGCTCCTGATTCCCCAATTTTATTTCCCAGTAAGCTGTGGGAGAGAAAAAAAGAAGCTTTAGGGGCAACTTCACCACAAAGACTTTGCTCAAGGTCAGACTGGTCAGGTTGGAAGGGGATGCGGGGAGCAGGTGGTTGTAGCTTCACTGCTTACTTTCAGTCATGTACGGTATTGGTTTATGGTCATCGTCATTCGGTCACTTCTGACTCTTTGTGACCAACAGACATTATTTCAGCAGGACTAACGGCTTCTTTGGAGCTCATGAGCTCATGCTTGGGTCATCGGTGGCAGCATTTAGCCACCTTGTCTTCTGTTGGCTTGGTTTTCAAGTGCCTTTGAGTTTTCCAAGCATCAGGGTCTTCTTGGTTGACCCTTACCTTTGCATTATGTGCCCAAAATGTAAGCTTTAGCTTCCTGATCAGTGCTGCCAGTGAGCAGGCTGGGGCTGTTTTTTATAAAGGGTTCAAGAGACCTGGTGCCTAAAATTGCCTAGACTTGTCCATATAGTTACCAAGAGTCAGGACTGACTCAAAGGCATGTGTGCCCAAATGTACAGAGACAAAGTAGAAGCTGTGAGTGAATGCTAAAAGTGGGTAATCCTCATCCTGCAATATAGACTTGGGCCAGAACCAATCAAGGACAGCAAAACAATGAAGAAAAGCAAAGATTACTGATTTGATTTTAATACATTGTCAATTTCAGGTTTTGAGATGATACCATTTTATAGCTTAAAATTCATTTTGTACCTGGCTTTGGATTACAGATATAGCCTGTTATGCCAGCTAAGACATGTCAACATGGCATTAATGATGATCAGTTTCTAGCCTGCTGGATCAGATCAGCAGCCAACTAGGGGCTTCATGCCCTGACCGCGTGGCACTCTGGCCTTCTGATACTAAAGGTATATAACTAATAGTCTTTGGCTGACCTCCTTATCAGCTATCCAAGTGGTCAGCTAATGCTACGTTTTCCAGTACTTTATGTGTCTAAAGTTAGGGTTGTCCTGGGACACAGAAACAGTCTGACCTACCCAGCAAGGCAGAATCTGAGATTCAGTAACTCCTAAGATAGAAACTTTCCCTCTCGGTGGTTGCAGCCAGCCTCACCCTTCAGTGGCCTCCAGCGAGGTGGCAGAAGATGAAAGCAGTGTTATGGTGTCACAATGCAACCTATGCCCCTTTTGTATATGCATTATGACATCCACCTACTTACGGGAGGGGTGGCGCTGGGGCTGTGACATTGCAACACTGTTTTCATCATTTTGATGAAAGCATTGGTTCTGCCCTGTCCCCCTTATATCTTCCTGAGTATAACCTGGTTTCAATACTCAGATTTTCAATAGTGCTGGATTTTCTCTACTTTTCTGGAGGGGGAGAGTAACTGGTAGATAAGTTTGCAGAAAGATGGGCCAAGGAGTGGCAGCAATAAAGAAGGAATTAGGGCATCTTCTAGTCTCTACTGAGCTCCATACTGATAGTTCACTAAAGACAGGTCTATAAATGTTAGACTTCCCTCCAACAATGATATGGGCTAGAAACTTGACTTTTGAGGTTTAAAAATATTGGCTAAGAATATTGGGAACTGGACTTCTGCCTCCATAGTATATCGATGAGTAAAAACCAACTCTGCCTGCTTTTCATTTCACCATAAGTAGGAGCTTCTGGGGCTTCTAGACCAACTTCTCCAGTAGGCACCACCTTGGGAAAGGCTGTTCTAGCTCAAACCCACTAGCTCATAAAAGGTACTTACTTGATGTAGGTGAGGTTGTGGCTCCCCGTCAGGGCTGTGGCGATGCAAATAGCCCCATCCATGCCCAAGGAGTTCTCCTGGAGGCTGAGCAAGAGCACAGAGACATGGCTGTATACACATATAGGAAGTTCTAACGTCGTTTGGTTCTTGCTCAGCATGCTGAGTGAACCTATTTCTCGCAATCTGTATGTCTGTTTTAGTCTTTGGTATGATTTAGCACATGCCTCATATCTGTTTTAGCTTTGTTTTTATTTTCCACAAAAGGTCCTAAGAAATACCAAATGAATGCTGAGAATCTATCAAGACTTATGCCTGAAAATGAGTCATGTGCAACTCTAAAGCTGTGTTTAAAAGATTAACTGATGCAACCGTCCTGTTTTGCATTTCCTGTTTCCTTGAGCTTAAGATGTTTCTTTTGGGTTAAGACATTTCCTTGAGCTTAAGCCGTTCCAAGGCAGCCAGTTACTTTAGGAACAAAGACAAGATGTTCTTGTAATATCAATAAGCCTTGTGCTTTACAAATCTAACACCTGGCTGATGATAGGTATGGTATTGATTCGAGTAGGCCCTTAAAGCAATCTGCTTCTTTCTTTGTCTGGATAATAAATGCAAAACCCTTTCAGTCTGACCCAAGCAGGGTATATATGACCCAAATGTTAAGAGCTGAAACTTGTTGCCAAAGCTAGAAAAGCAATTCCTCCAGACAAACGATACCGGGACACAGAAAAGATTGCCTCTCATTTGAGCAATAGCATGAGCGTCTTTCACAGTAGCCTTTCCCAGATGCACTACTTACTTCAGCCTGCGGAGGGTGCTGTTAACTTTCAAGGAGTGGGCCATTGCCTTGGCTCCTATCAGACCAATGGAGTTTCCTCTCAGGCTAAATCAGAAATAAGGAAGAGAAAGACATGATCCCCATAGCCCGGGCAGGGAATGACCCCCAATGTTCCTAGGTGGTACCCAGGGAACACCATTAATTATTTAAAAAATAAATACATAACAGATATTTAAAACCCATGAGAAGTTGGGACAGCTGAAATTGAAGTAGGTTTCAGAGATTTCAGGAGGGGCCCAAGGCTGAACTCTTGAACTGGGAAAGGTTGGCACAGTCTTTATAGCCTAACTTGGTGTCAGCCTTCCTAGGTAGACCAAACAGGAAACACGAGCTAATTCTACTTTATTGTAAGGCTACATTAACAGAATCTTGCAAGTGCAAATCTCCCGCTGTCTCTTTTACAGCCTGAGAAGTTAGGAAGGTTCCTTTCTGAGTCTCTTTCTCTTCCCATTATGCAGCTGCGGGCTATGCCCCCTCTTATCTAATCGTTCTCTAGGCAGCCTCTCTTCCCCTGTCTCCCAAGATCATTCCCACATACCATTACACTTGGTGCTTCCAAAGAACTCCCAGCTATCTCAGCAATTCCCGGTGGGGATAATGGGAATTGCAATCCATCACCCCTGGGGAGTGGCAGATTGTTGAAAGCTGGACTCTGCTAACCTGCTAGGGTCTGAGATGCATGAGTGTAATCCCCCCTCCCCACTTTCTTTGTCAGTTGCACCCCTATGGGAGAGGTGAGATTACTTACTCCAACACTGCAAGGCACTTGTTAACAGCCAATGCTTCTGCCAAGGCTCTGGCCCCGCTCACCCCGATCCCTGCCACCTGCAAGCTGCAAACAAATCAGAACCTTTAAGAGGGTTCAAGCTGGGCCAGCCCACCATTCAGCAGTGTCCAGGGCAGTGTTTCTTAACCGTGGCAACTTGAAGATGTGTGGACTTCAACTCCCAGAAATCCCCAGCCAGCATGCTGGCTGG